TTTTTTTTGTTTTTTCAATTAAAAGTGATCAACAAACAGTCCCCCCACCCCTCTTTATTGTACATGCTTCACCACACTTTACAATTCCTGAGCAAATGCTTGTCTCTAAAGCTGAAATGAAAGTAAAAACAGGAACTGTGCTGAGATAAATTAAACAACAGAGCACTCTGTTCAGCTCCGGCTGAAACTCAGAGGAAGAAGCAGCTTCGAGGTGAAGAACAGCTATTTTCTGTAAGTTACTTCTCATATCAAACTCATTAATAATCTGGTTTTTATCTTTGTAAAAAAAACTGTGCTTTAAAAGGGGAAGATGTGCTCGACGTACAGCAGCCTTCATGATAATTACATTTCAAACAAAGGGGTAGGAAACTGCCAGAACTGATCCTTTAGTTTGGTCAGGTTGTTTTTGTCCTCACGTCTGTTTTATTTGGTTAGAGGAGGACCGGCTGTGTGACTTTAGCTGTGGTTTTGGGCTGACTGTTGTGGGCATCATTCTGGCCATCGCTGTGCTGGAGAGACCACCAGCTCCAAAAGATCATGAAACTCTTCCTGAAGACTCTGAAGTGGACAACTTCACTCATCAGTGCAGGTAAGAATCCCAGAAAACACTGATGTTAATGTCTGTTGCACTCAAAACATCACCTTTTTTCTTTTTTTGTGTTTTATCTCTCAGTATGTCACTAGTGGAGAGCATTCCTGTACATCTGAAATATAAAGACAATGTAACGTTTGGGATCCCTCTGGTGCAAGTCTGGAACGATCTGATCTCTGCTGCAACAAAGCAAGTGGACGTGGCCTCTTTCTACTGGACCTTAACAGGCGAGGACATCAGTGTTAACACTTCCTCTGACCTTCTGGTGAGTTTTCAGCTGAAGTGTTTAAATAATTCAGTGGAGCTTAATGTTTCTGAGAAACTCCACTGTGTGCAGGGGAAAGACCTCCCGAAGAGACTGGAGGAGCTGCCCAGCAGGAACGTGTCCGTCCGACTTGTGAKYAGCGTCCCCACAGTCAAAACAAACTCCACAGATTTGGAGATGTTAAAACAAAAAGGTTTGAGAGCGACTCTTTCTGTTCGTGTGTTTGGGTTTGTCTTGACCTGGTTCTGCCGCCGGTTTGTCTGCAGGAGTTTAGGTGAGGAAGGTGGACTTTGGTTGCCTGACTCATGGCGTCCTCCACAGCAAGTTCTGGATTGTGGACAGAAAGCATGTGTTTATTGGAAGCGCCAACATGGACTGGAGGGCCCTGACACAAGTAAGGTCTTTGTTAGCAAAATATCTAATGAACCTCTGGGCTAATKTTCAGCAGTGTTGTATGAAGTACCACAAAGTGATGCTTGAGTAAAAGTACAAGTATCTTACCAAAAAATTACTTTGGTAAAAGTTAAACTCTCATTTAGGAATCTTACTTGAGTAAAAGTCTTAAAGTATCAGATTTTTTTTGTACTTAAAATACTGTTGGCCATGCCAACAGGGAGGTAGTCCACGCCCTCTAGGACATGCCTACAAAGTTTGGTACCGCCCACTCACAGTAGGCCACGCCCACACCCGTTTAAAGTTTTCTAAGGGCTGTGGCCACGCCCACAAACGTCATCGGTGGAAGCCACGCCCACAGGAAGGTAGACCACGCCCCTAGAACACGCCTACAAAGTTTGGTACTGCCCACTCACAGTAGGCCACGCCCACACCCGTTTGAAGTTTTCTAAGGGCTGTGGCCACGCCCACAAACGTCATCGGTGGAAATCACACCAAAAGGGAGGTAGTCCACGCCCCCTAGGACACGCCCACAAAGTTTGGTACCGCCCACTCACAGTAGGCCACGCCCACACCCGTTTGAAGTATTCTAAGGGCTGTGGCTACGCCCACAAACGTCATCGGTGGAAGCCACGCCCACAGGGTGGTAGTCCACGTCCCCTAGGATAAGCCTACAAAGTTTGGTACCGCCCATTCACAGTAGGCCACGCCCACACCCGTTTGAAGTTTTCTAAGGACTGTGGCCACGCCCACAAACGTCATCGGTGGAAGACACGCAAACAGGGAGGTAGTCCACGCCCCCTAGGACAGGTCTACAAAGTTTGGTACCGTCCACTCACAGTAGGTCACGCCCATACCCGTTTGAAATTTTCTAAGGGCTGTGGCCACGCCCACAAACGTCATCGGTGGAAGCCACGCCCACAGGGAGGTAGTCCACGCCCCCAGGACATGCCTACAAAGTTTGGTACCGCCCACTCACAGTAGGCCACGCCCACACCCGTTTGAAGTATTCTAAGGGCTGTGGCTACGCCCACAAACGTCATCGGTGGAAGCCACGCCCACAGGGAGGTAGTCCACGCCCCCTAGGACATGCCTACAAAGTTTGGTACCGCCCACTCACAGTAGGCCACGCCCACACCCGTTTGAAGT